CTGTGCACGTTACCTTTGTACGTGGTGAACAGATTTTGTTCAATCTTTCGTTTTCAGAAAAATATCGCAAGGAAACTAGGTGTGCCAACACTTTTTGGATCCACTGTGTACAATCGGTGTAAATTCAAATGACGTGGTCGTAAATATCAGAGTGTTTTAGCGAGACTGTCTCACGTTGAAGTAAACACGGTGCAGTTATTTGCCACGACCATACGTCTCAACCTGTATCTAATCTCGCGGAACATCCTCGATCGATCGACGCTTTGCTCCGCTGTCTTCAACCCTGTCCATTTTTCTCTCTCCTTAGCTCTCTTTCTTTTTAACTTGAACTGAAAACACATGCAAATGAACGAAGAATTTCTCCTGGCCATTTTTCGCCACGACGTAGCTTCGCTGGTCATATTAATTTCCACGAGGAAATCCCGTTCCGCGGGTCACTTTGCCTGCGAATCGGTCGCCGGATAGCTGGAGGAATTCTTTTATGCGATGATGTGTTAATTACTTTTATCTCGGCTGCAATGATTTGTCCCTTTCGCAGGAAGGAACTGTGTAGACAAATGTCTCGAAGATCAAGCCACTTTTGCGATGCTAACGGAAGAAGGATCGAGAATTATTTGACTAATTGTTTTCCAAATGAACTCGCGATTATTTCCGATAATCTAACAAAAATTTATGACCCACAAGTTTGTTGCTTTTCCTTCGTTCTTTTACGAGAATCTACGAAAAGTAGATTTTCCTGTAAGATAATGAAACAAATGTTCAAATATGATTTTCCAATTTCGATGATCTAACAGAAACTTATCACGCATCAATCTTCCGTTGCTTTCTTCCCTTTTTCTTGCGAGAACCGCTAAGTAGTTTTGTTCAACGATTTTTCTGTAAGATAATGAAACGAATGTTTCAAACAATTATTTTCCAAATTAATTGTTTGATTATTTCCGATAATCTAACGAAAATTTATGACGCATAAATCTGTTGTTTTCTTTTGTTTTCCTTGTGAAAATCGCTAGCTAGCTTCGTTTTAACGAATCTCCTGTGAGATAATGAAATATTTCGAATGTTCAAATATTTGGACGATAATTCGCGCGTGTTTTTATGTGCCCGGGGTGTATGCGTGATACATTTAACCTCGTATTTCGACTGGTTTAATTAAATTTGTCGGCGCAAACGCGGCACGAAAGTGGCTGGAAAAAAAATTAATTGTTAATATATTTATAATTTGAAAAAAAGCATAATAACGTTATTTTGCGAATTTAATATCATCCTATCGATGCGAAACTGGGGAAAAAATCATGAGAACCGGCACGGACAACGTATTATTATTTTTCGATACATTTGCAATACATTTTGCGATATTTATATTTACGCGAGCCAATTGCGAATTTTATTTCGACTGAGGTAAATTCGAATTTCTACAGAAATCTGCGTCTCCGTAGATTGGAATCGTTCCCGACGCGACGCGATGAAAAAAATCCTGAAATGAGAAAAA